AAAAAAAAAAAACAGGGAGAGAGAGAGAGAGAGAGAAAGAGAGAGAGAGAGACGGTCCCCGGTTTGAAAGCCGGTAATTAGTGACGTGCCTTCCCAAGGAGGACAGCAGTCGCTGCTGGGAGAGCAGCCCGGTGGCGGATGAACAGGGGCTCCGTGAAACCACCGGGGCGATGAGGGGAGGAGAGGACGGACGACAGAGAGCTTTCTGCCGCAGAGGAAACCCAGATTAGGCTGATCTGACAAACAGCTCTCTACCGGCATCCCCGGTGCGTGCACACCGCGTCACCTATCCTGCGACTCACACCTAACCCGCCGACCCACCCACCTCGACCACCCAGCAGGTTGTGTGGGGACTCGGGGGTGTAAGGGTGGAGCTGGACGCGCGGACAGCCGGCAGGATAACATCTTAGGTCTGAATAGATGATCTCCGTCATCACCGGGTCGGTCCCCCCGTTCCCCTGTTTAGGTATGTAGGCTTCAGTTCAGTGCAACTACTGTGTGTCTTCTCTGCAACCTGTCCGAGTGCACGAACACAACTACTGAATTTTTTGGAGGAAGCTTAACAAGTGTAATTATGAGAGCACTTTGGCTCTGCGATGATTTTTCTGTTGCGCACAGAGCCATGCAGCCCGCAGAAGGCTCTGAACGCAGCAGGGTAGTGGCTGTTAAATGTAAAGTAGGCTATCAATATGCTTTCTAACCGCAGAGCAGAGAAGTGCTGCCTCATTTAGCAGCTTTTCTGTCCTTTGCGCTATTCCAGCGGATGAGCGAACCCCGGGGAAAGCGGCGCACCTGTGACCGGAGGGGGGTTGGATTCTCCCCGGCTGGTGACCTCCCGCTCCGGGGGACAAACCCTCCCACCACCTGGCGTCACCTCTCCTCCAGCAGACCNNCGGAGCCCACCGATGCGTCCGGCAGCCCCTGATGCTCGGCAGTGCTCCGGGGCTTTCCGGTCGGTGGGAGAGGCTCGAGCCGCGGCCGCGCGCTAGGATGCTGCGCCAGGTGTTGCACGCGGGCCTGAGGACCTCCTTCCACGCGCTGGGCCGGTTCGTGGCGAGCCACCCGGTGTTCTTCGCCTCGGCGCCCGTGCTCCTCTCCATCCTGCTGGGGGCCAGCTTCAGCCGGTACCGCGTGGAGGAGGACGTGGAGAGCCTGCTCGCGCCCAAGCACAGCCTGGCCAAGATAGAGGGCAACCTGGTGGACAGCCTGTTCCCCGTGAACCGCTCCAAGCACGCGCTCTACTCCGACCTGCAGACCCCGGGCCGCTACGGGCGCGTGATCGTCACCACCCGAAAGGGGAGCGTGCTGGACCCGGTTCATCTGGACACCATACTGAAGGTACGCACGCGCACGGCACGCGCACACGCGCTGATTCACAGATTTGTGAGAAGTCAGTGTATTCCAGTATTTTCAAGTGGAGATAAAAAGTGCTTTTGAGTTGATAAAAATATATAAAATGTATAATATATCAAATGTGTACACAAAGAGTCGAGTGGGAAAACAACAGGACAAATGCTGGTGTTGATTTGAACGTTTGAAACTGCTCTCTTGTAAGCTCTGAGACCCAGTTGGCCCACATTTGCAGGCTATGCTGGAATATCTGACCATATTGTTTCTGTGCCTTTAAAATCACAGTATACACACACACACACACCGTAAAATGAGGCTGCAATGCACCTGCAGAGTCCAACTTTAAAAACCAAAATCAATTCCCAGTCCCAGTCAGAAAGGCAGAGGTAAAGGTCAGTGTCTGCAGGCCAGAGCACACATGCAAGCGGCCTTCACCTCCTCATTCCCAGTGATTGATAGTCATTAAGCAGAACAACACAGTCCCATTTCAAATAACCTCGGCAACCTTTGTAGTTATGAAGCAGAGCATTTTAATTACAAAGTGGAGTTAGCTGGAGCTCGGAGGCCTCCGTCTCTGCTGTTGGTATTCCTAAATGGATTTACGAATATTAGTTTGACACCCCTGGAGCAATTAGCCAAATTATTTCATGAAGTTATGGCCTTGTAATCTGAGTTTGCTGACTAATAGGCCTGAGACACTAAGCTCTATTGCGTAGGCTGCGTGTGTTTGTACATACCCTGTCCATGCATGCTTCTGTGCGTTTGTTGAATACGGTTATTGTGAACCATTCCATGTATACACAGAACTCCATAGAGGACTGCCGGTTAGAGACGGGCTACTTTACAGCTGTGCATCTTTTACCGCGAGAGAGACACCCGTTGGTGCATAAAAGAGAGTGCTGTGAAAAATCACTGTTACATAATCTTACACTCCCAGCCTCCCTTGTCTACTTGTGCTTCAGTCCGTGAGTTCCTACGCTTCCCAAAACGCCATCGAGCAACCATGCGAGAATGGCTCTGAACTTGTTGCACGAGAGAGCGACGGCAGTGATAGCCAGCGCCAGACAGGAGCTCCACTTGCAACAGGAGTAATAGTTGTGAGTCACACCCAGCGACTGCATTGAGTTCTGGTCTATTTAAGCTCCGGTCAGTGAAGGAATCTCTAACTCTTCCTCTATGATGGATGGATTGTGTGATTCATTAGTGTCTGTGCAGCATTGTGAGTCAAACAGTGCTCTCGCTCTTTGATTCTGGAGAAGTCAAAATACAACCGTACCTGTGGCGCTGTCGATCACAGAGATGGTCTTCTTGTTTGTGCTATCTACGCTGGAAATACCTTGCTGGGGTGTCACATAGTATGGAGTCATCCACAAGAGTCAGAAAAGTACACCACCATACAAGAACAGGGGCTCGTTGTTCAGTCAGAGAGCAGCATGGCTCAGTGTTGATCCGCTGCTTTGTTCCAGACTGAAATATCTCAACAATCACTGGATGGATTCTCATAAAATGTTGTACAGACACCGATGTTCCCAGAGGATGGATGCTAATAACTTTTGTGGCTTTTCATCCAGCTCCATTCTCTCTTTTTTTTTTGTCCAATACCTTGTTCTTTTATGACCAAATACCTNNNNGCTAACATGCTAAATTAAGATAGTTAAAGAGTAATTTCTGTGTTTTTCCACCTGGATTTCCACGTTTTTGTGTCATAGTGAGTAATGGGGACATGACGTTTTTCAGCGTAATTCTTGCGGGCAATTGGGCACTGTTAAAATTTGAGCTTGAAAAATAAAAGAAAGTTACCCTTTAATATTGTTTGAGATATTATACATTATTTGACTGTACTCAGCCAAATCTGAAATAAAAGGCGCAATCCTTGATCCAAATGTTAATAATCGAGCTGCTTCACCAGTAAAAATAAAAAAACGTGTAACTCCCAAATTAAGGTCTTATAAAACAATCACTAGGCAAGAAATGAATCTGTGTTATTAAAGTTTTCTGATGAGTAAAGCATATTTATATTTTCAGCTATGATCAGTTAACAATCAAAAAGTGCTTATAGATTTTATATATATCTGAATTCAATCATGTATGTGAGTATGCCTGCAATTACTTTTCTTAAAATATTACTGACTGGGCAGTTAATCTAGTGATCTGAGGCACCTAGATTGGGAAATTTAAGGTAACAGGAAATTACTAACAATAATAATGAGAGATTGGTATCTTTTGGCAGTAAAATATGTCAAAAATAAAAAGAAGAATTTGTGTTAATCTTATAACAGGACGGTGCACGGAATGAACTTTCAAAACCAATCAGTTTTCAAATGACATTCCTACACACACACACACAC